CTTGTCCAGCTCAGCTGAAAACAGAATCATGGAAAGAATTAACTTCATGAACCAAGGTACTACTACAGTCAAACCTGTATAGCAGTTAAAGCTGATTGCTGAGAAAGATTGCAGAGTTTGTTTTATAGTATAGGCTCAGTTATTCCCAACAGACTTGTGGTTTAGAAAACATGACATAAAGCACTTCACATGAACCCAAACATAGTGCCCCTTAAAGTGATGCTCCTGGGCCTTAAAATCAGCCCCGCTCACCTCTCCATCAGCCTGAAGGAGACAGGTAACAGAAACCTGCCCTGCTAGGTCATCTGCCCCCCATGCCTCACCCCTTAGCCTTCTCTCGGTTAAGTGGGGAAAGGCCAGGCAGTGAGGATGCTGTGCAGAGATACTCTCACTAAAACCAGCTGGTTCTCAGGTACCATTTTCCATATGCTTCCTGATTCTCAAATGTTACCTTTTTCAGAAGTAACAGGCTGTAAGCAGGATATGTGAGGTTACATTATCCTGCACTAATTTTGCTTTATAGAAGACAGAAGAGAAAGACAAATCTCCACACCTATACCGCCTAGAATATTTTTAGTAGCCATGGGATATCTTACTATGAACCAGAAAAAGAAGGAGGGAACAGTTACTTCCTCCACTCAGACCCAATTTCCATGCTCAACTCTCTAATTATTATACATCACAAGAGTGCTTTAAACCTAGAAAACTCCTCTTTGTAAATTTTACCAGAAAGCTTCTTAATTCAAGTGTGTGAGGGAAGGTTGGATTGGGGAAAAGGGGAGACCCAAAGGAATCAGCTCTGAACTTCAAAGAGCTTTTTATTTCATGATTAGAAAATTCTCACTGGATTGTGCAATAAGAAAGCATAGCACAATACACCCTTCCTCTTCTGGTAGGAGTGAACAGAATCAGGTATGAACCTCTGGGCTGTACCTTATACCTATACCCCTTTTACATTCAAAAGGGAGAAATGTGTTGCAGCATGATTTTTGTGTTAAATGCTTGCAGACTCTTGTTACCCATGCAAAGTGTTTGATCAGATCCTTTATGGATCAAGTTCTCTCTGTACACACTGACTCGCAAATTTGTCTAAATGAAACCTTCACCAAGAATGGCCTCTCTTTTCTACAGTATAGTAATGAGCTCCTCTGGGAAACAGAAGTGCAATAAACAGGGATACATCACTTTAAATAAGCCAATAAATGTAAAAAATTAGATTCACAAGCAGGTAAAGGAGACAACAATTATTCAATTCCTTTTTGCTTCATTAAAAGATGTCCAAGAAGATTTAATAATGAGTTCCACAAATATGTTTTAAATACCTAATTCACAAGAATTTGATTTAAAACAGTATTCTGAAATATGAAACTGGAGGAACTAATGCACTTTTTAAAGAACTACTATATACTAACTAGCTTATGCCATGCAGTTTTTTCTTATTCAAGCCTCAAAAATTTACTGAGCTTCCACTATAAGCCAGGTGCTATTCTAGGTGCTGAGGGCATAAACGAAGTATATCAAAACCCCTTGTTTGCACAGAGTTTAAGATCTAGTAAAAGATACAGAAAAGCCATAAATGAGGACAATGTATAGTTCAATGGAAAAAGTAAGCTTTACAGAGAAGGGAAATGAGAAAGGAATGAGTAACTAGAGTTCCAGAAGTGGGGACAAAGAAAAGAATGGTAAATAAGGAAACTATTATAAACCTGAGAAACAAAAGATAAACAGAAAAACACAGGAAGTAAGGGAGGAGTTTAGAAAATGAGGGGACAGGCAGAACTTTATACACATACTATACCTGCGAAAGACTCACTCAGAGCTTGACTCCTCAGTGAGGACCTGAACAAGATGAACATTAGGCACCAGGGGGAAGAACCCTGCAGGCCAGGGCAAGGCTGGAGAAAATGCTGGGAGGGGCATGTGTCTAGCAGGTCCGAGGAACAAGAAGACCAGAGACAGGGATGTGAGCTGGGGAGAGCAAATAAGAGTGCACAGAGGTAGGATAGGCTGCAAGAATCACACAGACCATTGGAAGGATTTGTGCTATAACTCAAAATGAGCATGGAGCTCAGAGAGGTTTCTGAATCCAAGAAGTGAGAACCTGACCTGATCCAACAGGACCACTGGTTGCTATGCTGAGAACAGAGCACCAGAGGGACAAGGGCAGAAGAGGGCGAGCAGCCAGTCAGAGGGCTGTGGCAAGGCCAGAGGCAATCAGCATCTTCATCTATAAGTGACAGTGATAACATATTTTTCCTAGGGCAGTGCCAGTAATTAACCAAGAACTGCCCTATTTGATCAACTCGGAGACACACTAGCATCTCATAAACCAGGATGTGTTGTGAAAGCCAGTAAGGCCTGCCACTCCCTTCAGCAGTCAGGGTAGCTGACGCTGCACACCCAGGCATAAACTTGGTCTCACCGCACATGTTCTTGCTTCAATTAAGTTATGTCCACTGGTAGTACATGTGTGGCATTCCATAGCCATTTTAAAATATCTTCAAAAAATTCTGCTTCACAGGCCAGCAGAGTGGCTCAAGAGTATAGTATCATTTGCCTAGCATGCATGAGGTCCTAGATTCTATCAGTAGCACCAAAAACAAAAACAAAACAAAACAAAAACCTGTACAAAGTAATGGTTACCAAATCAAGGACAGAACAGCAGGGCATGAATATGTTAGTGAAGAATAAATTCAACATGGAAGCAGAATCTTTATCTCATATTTTTCTGCAAAGTAACAACCCATGAAAGGAGAAATTGAGTCTTTGGAAGTCATCAACCCAAAAGGATTACTTGCTGTATCCCAGATGGTTCAACTGAAAAACTCCAAAAGCCCTTGGAAAAGATGACAAATGTCAAAGCAATGAGGAGAGAACATGACCAACCCATGATTCCCAGGGGAGTACAGAGAGAGTACCAGCAACACAACTTACAGGACAGCAACAAAATTCGCTCAGCTCCAGATGACGTAAAGCCTCAGGTGCTCACTACACCATCAGAGTATTTCAGAAGAGCTGGGCTCAAAAGGAGCACAGTTTAGGAAATCACGAAATTACTTTTTCCTATTTTTCCTCTTATATACACATGGGAAACCCATAGTATAAGATTGTGGTAAGTTTAAAAAAAAAAAAAAGCCAGAGGCAAGAAATAGCTAAGGCTTGGCAAGAGCATGCTGAGAGATGCTAAGAAGTGGGGCTTTCACGTTACGTGAAGAGAGGACTTGTGGGACACTCGGCATGGAAGCACAAACTGTCCAGACCACCCGGCTTTTGACCTGAGCCACTGAAATGGAGTCACTGTTTACCAAGTTGTGCAACAGCTAGGTCAGCAGGCGTGGCCAGTGCCAAACTCCACTTGCCTCCTGTTTCTGAACATCTGCTCGTTAAGAAAGTCTTGATTTCAACAAGGTTTTTAAAACAAAGGAGAAAAAAATACAGCTGAAACTGTGTGCAGTACTTGAAGCCTGAACTATTTACTATCTTTTCGCAAAGTCTGACAACTCTCAGGCCATAGGAGACCAGGTTGGGAAGGAAGACCAGGAGCCACAGCTGAACCTGCAGCTTCAGGGGCCAGTCGGATATTCATGTGCAGATGTTGGGTTAGCACATGGGAGAGGCCACCCTGAGCTCAAAGCAGGCTTCAGGCCACAGCACCTTTGCCAATCCCTGTGAGTGCAACCTGCCCCAGCCATCATGGCCCAGGGGACACTGCAGACTCTTCTGGCTCTAAGAACAGCAGCAGTTCAACAAAGAGGGCTTCACTACAAAAAGTGACATCACATCAAAAAGCTCAATTCTTGCTGAAAGGTTCAGCAGACAGAAGAGCAAGGCTGACTGTGCAGGTGTGGAATTCCTAACTATATGACTTTCTTGCTTTCATTATTCACATCTGACCACTTCTTAACTATCACTGTGCCTTTTATTTTGATTATGGAATTTTTATTGAGAGAACACTAACTTTTAGCAATTGTGACCTGAATGAAACCATTTCAGTCTTCAGTAAGCCCATGGTCAGTAACACTGAGGACCCTGGCCATGCTTTCTGCCTTTCCACCAATTCCTTCAAGCTCAACCAAATTCTTACCCATGACTGACAGCACACACAAATAAAGCCATTCATACTTCGCTGTGTCATTCCCTACATCTTGAAATTAAGATGTCTGCCAAAATAACTTTCATCTTCACAGTGAGCTCCAACTTCTGTACATAATTATACTAGAATAACAATAAATTTTCAATAAAGTTTAGCAACTTTGTGAAGTATTCACAAGTCTCTCATACAACTATGGTTTCTAAGTAAAATCAACATTATTTAAGGGATTTTGTGGTTTAGCTGCCTGTCTTGCAAGAACAAATCTTCCTTCTCTCTATGTAGCCCATACCAGGGACCTAAACCAGCAGGATGCCTCAAGCCACCTTGACTTGCACTGTCTCCAGAGCTCCTGAGCTCCGCCTGCTTCAGGTGCGATCTTTACAATGGCCCACCTGCTTCTCTGACCTTCCTTCTAGAACATAACATCCTCAAAGATGGAGAATGGTCTTTCTTGTCTGGTACCCTAGAACCTTCTCAGCTGGCGACACAAGAACTAAATCAAGGTTCTCAACGAATAAAGAGAAGTATATGTAAGTATACACTGTCAAGTTTAAATCTACCTACTTATTTGTATTTTAGGCAGAACCCCACTTTGGAGGGAACACAGAATCCTGTGGCAGACTGGATGATAAACAGCATCTACTTGAAAAATCAGGCTGAGTGTGATGAATGTTGTTTGCTGAGTGATGGAGGGCTGAAGACGATGGACACTTTCAGCCCCAAGAGCAAGACTATTTTGCTCCCTGAAGCAGCCTCGTAGCCACATCTCCACACAACAAACCACAACCACAAACCCAGAGAGCACACCAGGCGGACCCACTCTGCACTGGGCCCTTGACACACTGCCCTCCTGGGAACACAGCCTTGGGCCGCACATTTACACGGTCACTTGGGGCCACTTACTCACCATCAGCTGTGTGAAGGAGCTTGTGACTCTTCAACGTCCCTTTTGATTTGAATTTCTTCCCACACATGTCACACAGGTGAGTCTTCTCAGTGCTGTGACGATTCATATGAGCTTTAAGGTTACTCTTGCTACGAGTAGCATACTCACACAAGGAACATTTGAAGGGCTTCACACCTACCGGGGCAAACGAATATACATAGAAGTGTGCATATAGCTGTGACTTCAATGGGACAGATCATACCTATGCAAAACAGCTGCTCAAATAAAGCAGCACACTTGTTTATCCCAGACATGCCACCTCCCCCACAGGCTTTCCCTATGGGGCTCCTTCCCACAGGCACACTCTTTCCGGGAGGGTCAGTCAGGCACCTCTACTCCACAGCTTTACTATCCTTCCCATGCAAATTTCTCTACTCTTAGGTCAATGTTCTTAAATTCTGTAACTCTACTGCTGAAATGTTCATAGATGTTACAGTGGCCTGATCACATCTGCCTCTCTCCATACCTGGGAACTTCTTGAGGCCAGAGACCCTGAGCAAATGATGACGCAAACAATCATTAAATTCAGTTAAACCAAAGGCCTCAACAGCCTTTACAAAAATCAGTGTCACTGGGCCTTCAGATCAAATATGAAAGCATAAAATAACAGAACTTCACAATACTAGTTGTTATTGGATCAACGATCCAGACCTAGGGGTTTCTTAGGGTTTTCTTCAACTATATCTTCATTCAACAAGAACGTACACAAAGCCTACTTTCCGACTAATCACTGAGGACTAATCCTGAAACTGAGGAGACTGAGTCCCTGTTCAACTTTGCAGTGGGAGGTGCAGATGCTTCTGTTATAGGCTGTTACAGCTAAGTGTGAGGTGCTATACAGGTGGGCAGCAGAGGGTTTCAGAACCAGGGTTATGAAGAAGAGTGAATAATGAACCAGGCATTTTCTTTGATGCTCTCTACTGCTTATGACTGCTGAGGAAACCGAAGTTTTAAGAGGCTACAGGCCATACTGGGACAAGAAGTCAGATGCACATGTGGGGTGACAGTGCTTCATGGCACATGGCAAAGCCCAGAGCTGGGTTAGGTGTCTTGGTTACTTTTCTCTCCTGACTGAGACCAAATACCTGACACCAAAATTAAGAAAGGAAAGGTTTATTTAGTTCATAGTTTATGGAGTTTTCAGTCCATAATTAGCTAGCTGCAAGGCAGGGTTCATGTGCCAGAGGAACAATGGTTCATGGTGGCAGAAGATAGCAAAAGTAACAAGAGCCAACAGGGAATATTGTATGCAGGCTATCTGCTGTGGGGCAGGTGTAGCACTCACACCCATAATCCCAGCACTGAACCATAACAAATCAATCACAACCTAGAAGCCCACTGCCATGACCACATGAGGCTCTAGGGGAACACCTAGACACAAACCATAACATTCTGGCTGTGGCCTCCCAAAGATTCATGCACATCCCTTCATGCTAAAGAGCATTTAGTCCACCTCTAAGAATTGCCAAAGTCCTAAGAGTTTCAGCATTGCTGAAAGTCCAAGTCCCAAATCTACAAGATGTAAGGCAAACTTTTAGCTTTGAACTGCTCTATAAATGAAAAGAAAACTACTAAACACGGTCAATATTCAGTGACATAGATACACATTTTCATTCCAAAAGTTACCAACATGGGGATACAAAACAATGAAACCAAAGCAAGTTCAACATCCAGCAGGGCATCCTGTACCTCTATGTGCAGCATCTGACACAATCTGTGACAAGTTGTAAGCAAAGGGCTTGTGAAGCTCCATCTTACAGCACTGCCAGTGGCAGTGGTAGTAGTTCCTAGGGCTTCTCCTTTGGGCCTGCTTTGCTTCCTCCTTGCAGCTTTCCTTGGATGATCCATGTTCCTGGCCTTTCCAGACTTCTGGGGTCTCCACTACACCCCTGGCTTCATAGTCACAGCTTCAAGCACTGCCCTCTCAGAGTGAACTGATTGGCCTTCTAGGTCTTCTGAAATAGGTTGGAAGCCACCTTAACCTGACAACTCTTGCATTCTCCATGCACCTAAAACCAGTGCCACATGGATGATGCCAAGGTCTGCTGCCAGTAGGAGCACTAGCCAGGCTTCCCCCTTTCTTGGTGGTAGGAGTCAAATGCCTGGATTGATCAGCACTCTGAATCCAGTTCTAAGGAAAAAACTCTCTAGGCTTCCACAATTCCTGAACATTGTGCTTGGTGGCTTTCTCCTCAAAGCTAAAATCTTTCACTTTTTGTATTTTTGAGGCTGCAAAGAGTGGAGATTTGATACTTCTTAAGATGCCCTCAAGCCATCTTTTTACTGCCCTGTACTTTTTCAGTAGTCAAGATCTCCTCAGCTCTATCTTTGCAGTCTACAACAGTCCCCAGCTTTACTAGAGCTTCCCTTCTGGCCAAACTCACAACATTTTGAATCAGGGTTCTCTTCTGCGATTTATAACATAATTCTGGCTTAAGATTCCCAACAATAGCCATGCCACCAGCTCAACATTAGACTGCCTTGAAATTTCTTCTGCCAGTTTGATTAGTCAGCCACCTTTAATCTCAGTCTCAGGCAAAGTATCTGGACAGGAGCAAAATGCAGACAAACATTATACTAAGCCATGACTCATATCAGCTGAAATCCAGCAACCAATGCAGTCCTTCTTCCCAACAGAAAACTCTCGAGCCTGGTCATTAATGGCAGGATTTCTATCAGTTTTCTGGAATTCTTAGCTCTGACCAGAGTTTCCCATCAGAACAGTGTAAAGCATTGCAGCACTAGTTTGTCAGATGACATTTCAAACCATTTCCAAACTCTGCCCACAAGCCATTCCCAAAATCTCGTGAACTACATGGTCTGGCATAGTCACAGCAATGACTCCATTTCTCTAATACCAAATTCAGACTTGGTTACTTTTCTCTCACTGATGACACAAAATTAAGGAAGGAAAGGTTTATTTAATAGTTTGTGGTGGTTTCAGTCTAAAATCTGCTAGCTCCTTGGAAGAGTGTGTCTGAGAAACAATGGTTCATGTGCTCTGGGCACACACTCTTAAGAGCAGGGCTACTGGCATGTGTCAGCCTGCACACAGCGCTATCTCTTAATCACTCACAGCATGACTAGGCATTCTAATAGCAGGTCTAGCTACAAAGAGCTCACCACCATGGAGGGGAAGCTCACACAGACCACACAGAGGCATGGAATGCAGCCCTGTAGTGCCAGCTCCTATGAGAACAGATGAATTATCATTATTCAGTTACTACTGGATCAGGTAGTTTATCTTTTTAGATAAATAAATAAACTCAAAAGTGAAGATCAGTGTACACTCACTATCCTGGAGAAGCCAAAATCCTAATTTCTCTTCCCTGTAATGAATGGAAAGAAAAGAAACAATATAGCAACTCAGGGAATAGAGACACATTTTAATGCATGTCTTTGCCTTCCCAATGGTCAGCCATGTATAACAGCTCTGTCCTTCTGTGCTCTCTTACTGCACATGACTACAGAGGAGACAACAGTTAAGCCAGCTATGCAGGGCTCTAGCTCATCCATGGCATGCCCTTCACCCCACAGTAAGGCACGCAGACACTTTCTACAACACGTTCCCTGGTCTATATCCACCAAGAGCCAGTGCTTGGGTCAGTTGTGGATCCACACTATGTCCATTATCTGACTGCTGTGGGAACTGTGAACAAAGTTACAGGTCCTCTGTGGAACAAATGTCATGTGTATGATAAATGTTCTATATATAGGTTTAAGCTACTAAGACTATAATCCTTACCATGCTAACTTCCCTTTTTACTCTTTCTTGATATTTTGTAGTTTTTCTGTTTTATTAACTTGATGTTTTAATATTTTCTTTTTTTCTTTTATCATGTTTTATATTGAAAGTAAACTGACAGAAGGAACAGTTATGGTACAGTGATCAACTTAAAACTACCCAAATACTATCATTGTGTACAGATGCACTTTTTTTCCTTTTATGATTTAATCATAACAGAAGAAAAAAATCAGGCTAACTAAAAACTGTAATGCCAGACCATTCTAACAAAAAATAGAAGGCTTTAGCTTTATGAACCCTCTTCATAATGCTACAGTTGTTTAAAATAACAGATTTCTTTCTTTCAACAGACTGAAATACACATTAACACCCCATCACACATAAATACAAAAGCACCGGCTTAATATACACTAAACCTTCTACAGAGCACTTTATAGATCTACATAGATTACTGCTCTTACAACAAATTCCAAAATAGTTTTAGTTTCATTAAATGGATAAGTAAACTAAAGTGGAAAGATGAGGTGTTTGTCCCATCCCACAGCTCCTAAGTGGTGAGGGCAGATTTGAACTGCATGCTCAGGTACATGTAATTACAGTCATATTCCTTGGTGAGACCAAGGTCTCCAGCCTTCCTGTGTTTCATCCAGTTCCCTGCTGATTCCTGAATGCCATTCCAAACCTGTTCTCTGGAAAGGTGTTTCTGCCTCCTTTTGGCTGAGAACACTGGCCAAGGCCATGACCGCCCAGAGTCCATGAGGAAGCAGCAGCACACACAGACAGGCCTGCTGCCTGCACTCCTGCCCCAGTGCCAGAGGTGGCTCCTTCCCTTGGTACACATAAGTAGAGAAGTGGAAAGCAAGGACTTGGGAATCGGAAGGCAGAATCCAAACCCCAGTCCACCTCTTGTCAGCTTCATGACCAGGAGCAAATTCATTAACCTGTCTGAGCCTCATCTCCCCGACTGGTACAAAGTGGAAGCCTCCAAGGTTACTGAGAGTAGCAAATCAGATCGAGTGGGAATGCATCCAGCACCAGAAAATGATAGTAAGCAGAAAGAATCTTTCTGCCCTGGGTCTCAACCCCTCTGCCTTCTCCAAGTTCCTACTGCTTCAGCTGCAATTCCCTTTACTGAACTGTTAACTACCTCCTCCTTCCTCACAGACCCTTAGCTGTACCTTAACAAGTCAATTTTACCCCATAAGAGAGAAAACATTTTATCCTCCATCCCTTCCTGTCTTGTCTTCCCACCTACAGCATTCCGGCTTCCTACCTAGCAGGAAGGAACCTAATCACAAGTCTGGAAGAACTTTTCCCAGGCCCTATCTCCCAACCTCTTTCACATGAGGGCTACCTCCATGCCTGGGGGGAGAATACCAAGTTGGTAGCAGGCTGACTCTACAGGAATCTGAGCTTAAACTTCTTGAAGTCCCAGCAAGTGGCTCTCCCATGCAGCCTTCACAGGGCCCCAGAGTACAGTCCACATTCTCATTCTACTCCAATTTGTCTCCACGAAACTCGTCCGCCTTCTGAAAACCTTGTCCATGATGTGAACACAACATTCTGGACACCCTCTTTACCTCCGTTTCTTCATGATTCTAGCAGTTCTTCAACAGTGCCAAGTACAGTGCACGGTGTGAACAATGAAACTGCTGCTGTGCATAAGATATAGGTGCAGAACACACATGTGCACCTGCTTCTCAGCAAGAGATGCACAGTGATTACTTCGCAACTGCAGGGGAACTAGCAGGAAACACACATGTCCATCCAGGGCAAATGCAATGTAATGAGTAATGATGTAAACTTCTGACCTTTAGGACTGATGAATAGACACCCCTGTGTGTGGTAAAGAAATCCTAACTGCAGGGAATGTAAAGACATGGTTTCCTCCTAATGGTTTTCCAAAATAAAGTATGAGAGCATAAAATTAAAAGGGAGCCCTAGCTGGGCAGAACAGTACTCACCTTCATGAGCCCAGATGTGACGCTGAAGATCTGAGCCATTCTTCATGAAGTAGAAATCACAGTATGGGCACTTCATGGCTCTCTTTCCAATCAGCCCTTTCAGTTGCACCCGCCTCCCAAGAACCTCAGAAATGGTGCTCATGGAGACCTCTGGAAGAAAGCAGGATGATGATCAGAGAAAAAGGACTCTGGCTCAAGACAGATGTGAAGAAACCTCTTGATGACAGCTGTGTCACTAGAGGGACAAGTCAGGATGTGCTTCATGGTATCATAAGAACATTTTTGCCAAAAAAGTTGAAGCAGAATCTCATCAACCTTCCATTCTAAATACTTGTTAATACAAAACATGAGGAAAGAAAAAATAACACATGCGGGGCTTGGTGGCGCATGCCTGTAATCCCAGCACTCCGGTGGCTGAAGCAGGAGAATCACTGTGAGTTCAAGGTCAGCCTATACTACATGGTGAGAGCCTGGCTCTAAAAATCAAAATACTAAGCAATAATCAGACAAATGTAGACTGTGACAATGTCTATTGGAAAAACAATTCATTTTCTCCCAGAAATCAGTGATATGGAACAAAAGTAAGGGAATATATAGAATACAAGAAACCTAAGTGACATAACTACCGAACAAAATTCTTGCATTGCGATTCAAACAAACCAACTACAATTGTGTGTGTGTCTGTGTGTGTGTGTGTGTGTGTGTGTGTGTGTGTGTGTGTGTGCGTTATAGGTCAGCTGGAAAATTTTTCAGTGGACAAATACTCACTGGAAATAAGCTTTCACTGTTAATTTTGCTTTTATTTTGCTTTTTTGGTTATGCAGTGGTTACACTGAGAAACACCCTTATGAATTAGAGAAGATTTGTAAGGTTTAAATACATGCTACCTGGGATATACTTATTCCAAGGGAAAAATGGTTTATGGGGTAGATAAATAAAAAGAGTTTTCAATATGTAGATCTTTGTGGACAGTGAGTTCCACATACATGGAGTTCCCTATGTTAGTCATTTTTTCCAAACTGTAAACTTAGTGGTATAAATTAATTTTATAAAACACTGCTTGTCTCACAGTGGCATTCTTATACCTGCACATACTTTGATAATCTCTGTCCCCCAGTGCCCTATCTTAAACCCCGAATCCTTCTAATAATTCCTTTCTCTTCTACATTCATGTCATTTTTTCTTTTCCTTTACATTATTTGGTGTACTTTTGCACATTTGAGACTTTTTTCCATTATAAAAAGTTTAAAGCAGAGCTAAAAGAACACATGAAACTTCTTCATGAGCAAAGGCCAGTGGTTTTAAATAACCACCTTGGGCTCACTCTGGACCACTGGGCACTTACAACACAGGTTAGTATGGGAAGGGCAGGAAGGGTCTGCTGAGCATCCAAGAGCCCAGACACTGCCTGTTCACAGAGAAAGCAGGAATGTTAGCACCCACCTGTTATTTCTTAACTTCCCTCCATTTCTCATCATTTACAATCAGTGAGTCTATTCCCTTATACCATTGGCAGAAACACATTTTTAATAAAAGCAAAGAGACCAGGGTGCAGACAGGCACACTTAGTTAATCTGCTGCTTTTTATACAACAGAAGAGCACCTGTGAATGCTCTCTTGGTGGCCTATGGGGGTCTGGGGTCAAGCCCTTTCAGAATGATCCTATGGGGAAGATGGGGGCAGTGACAATGCCTGGAGTACAAGGGTTCAGCACACTACAGTGCTGAGGGGCAGGGAAGCCCCAACAGAGCCCTTAAAACTGAACAAGACTTAAGAGCAAAAGTGACAGGACGTGCATGCCTAGGAAGCTGGCCTGTCCCGCCTAACCAGTGTGGGATGTCAGGACCATGGAAGCTCCTCAGGCTATGTGGGTATCAACACTGCTTACAAACCACTACTTTGCATAACACAAACTCAAGACAAGGGCCATGAAGAAGGCCAGATTCCTGGTCAGACACAAAGCACAGGTGATCCATGGAGGGCATTTAACTTCACGACAAAAGCACAAAAGCGGGAGAGAGTCACTGAGACTGCAGGGAGCAGGGATGTTCCTGAAGGCCAGATAATGGCACAAAATGAAACAAACAATTACATAAATCCCCAGCTTTAAATCCAGATGACTGTATTCCTTGAATTTATTTATGTATTCGTTCCTTTTCATTCCCATATAATATAGTTGATATTTAATGCTTTAAAACAGACATTTCAAAATTGATCCTCCAAAATCGATCACTCTAAAATCCATGTCCTTACCAGGATGGTTGGTCTTGATATGTGACTTTATCAATCGATCTTCTGAAAAAGACTTTTCACACACAGGACAAGAATAGCTCCTTTTGTCCTTAATAAAAAGAGAACACAATCAATTGGTAGTCTTGTTTAAATCCATGTTATGTAGAAAAATACCTGCTACCATCATCATCACAACCACCAACACCAACATTGCCGTCACCACCCCCACCCCCTCACATCACCATCACCAAAAGCAGCACTATCACCACCACCACCACCAACCGTCAGCATTATCACCGACCACCTTGAGCACTATCAGCATGATCATTAGACATGCAGTATATCCACTCAAGCACTTAATATACACCTCTGCCTGGCCTGGCACAACCCAGGGAGCTCATCAATAGTGCAATGGCAACAGCTCCAGTTTAGAATTGAGGTGGGGAGCTTGGAAGAGTTCTAGGGAGGGGGCAAAGGGTAACATTCAACATCAAAGCCATGAGTCTTTCACACAAACCAGGGCTGCTCCACGGCTCAAGGGCATAATACGCCCTCGTGCTCTACATGGGTTTTCACACAGGTCACTGTATTGAGACTCACAATGACTCACAAAAGAAAAGGGGTTTTTCATGCTACAGATTAAGAAATTAACGTCCTCGGTGATAAGGCTGAAATCTGAGAGGATGGGTCTGTGTTGGAATGGGAATGTCCAGATGTCCACCTAAGACTACTTCTGTCACCCTAAAGCCCTGTGTCCACCCAATGTTGTATGGAGGAAATCAATTCTTCACTTGTTGCTAGCTTGATCAACTGGGTTCCAAAGGTGTTACACTCTCAGATGGACAGCAGCTCTCAAGAATGACTGGATTAGGGCTTTTGCTCATCTGCTTCTCTCCCAGAGCTCATGCCCAAGCTATTTCATACTGAGTTTTCTCCAGAAAGTGAGGTTATGGGTGAACTGCCACTCTGTCAAATTTTATACACTGGAATCCTAATTTCTAGTTCACAGTGTCATCTTCTTGGTAAAGATCCTCTTTACAGAAATGACCCAGGAAAATGAAAGAACTAGGCTCAGCACTAATCCAATATGACATGACTGATATCCTCATGAAAGGGGGACATTTGTGCACAGACATACACAAAGTGACAGTGAAGGCAGAAACCAAGTGATGCATCTGCAAGATAAAGAAGGGCAAAGGTTGACAACAAATCACCAACAGCCTGGAGAGAAGCCTAGGGCAGATTCTCCCTGATACCCCTCAGAAACCCCCCAGGAATCCTAAGGAAGAAATCTGCCAATACCCTCAGGGCAGACTTGGAATTTCCAGAATTGAGACTATGTCTGTTGTGTCAGCCACCCTGAGTACAGTACCCTTCTTACACTTTCCAAGTTCACACTTTGAACGGTCCTTGCTCATGTGAACTTAAGGAGAACTAACTCCAGCTGAGAGCCTGGTACTACAGCAAGAGCTCCCTACACCTTAAGCAGATAACTGATCGCAGGCCCCACAATCCACTCTGTATTTCCAAATAATAATAGTATAACAGCTATATTCATTTCTTACTGGAAGGGCTGGGAATATAGCTCAGTGGCACAGCTCCTGTCTGCCTACTGTGTTTGGTTCGCAGAACCAAAAAACAAAACGACTTTCTGGATACAGGTGCTTTACACACCTGTGGGACACTTAGGAACCTGCCTCAGGCTAAACCATCACAGAGAACAGGGTAGGAGGTCCAAACCAGGCCTCTGGTCTCCAGAAGGCTTGCTTTAGGACTAGCAGTACAGACTGATCGATCAGAGCCCCTGGGCTTAATCCTGTTCCACCATCTGTTAGCTACGGAACTCTGGGGAAGGTTGTATCATGAACTTGGGGCACCTTGATGTGCTCTATCATCATCCTCCATTGCCTTAACCTTGTACTCACAGAGTCCTTTTTGGAAACATAACCTAGACTCTGCTAGTATCCTGGAAAAGGTCCCCACTACCCCCAGGTCCCCAGTGCCCTCATCAATAGAGCTGATGAAGGCATTCAGGAGAGATTTGAAGAGGCTTCCATTGATATCCCGAGCCCTTGCAATTTGACTTTTCTTCTTTTAATCCCTCATAGTCTGAAAGCAATTTATCTGAGAGTTTATCAGGGCCCCTATTTCTTGACATCTTTGAAGACTGTCAGAAGGTTACAGACAGTGGGAAAGAATGCCGGGAGAAGGGTGGACTCAGTAGTCATTTACTTCTTGTTTAAACCTCAGTGCCTTGCCAAAGATAAAACTCAAACACACAAGGCAAATTTTAAAGAGAAATAAAGTTAAAAGAGCTCCTCGCAGGGGCAGGGGCACATGAGAAACCCAGCTGGAAGAATCAGAAAAAGCTCAGCCCTCAGAGTTTGTTTGCTTGCCTAGAAACACCTCCAAAGCAATCAGAAACTTGAGAGAAGAGAGACCATAGGCATGGCACAGAGTGCAAGGCCAGTCCCAGGCCAGAGACTCACAGCCCAGTTCACCTCTCAGGACACCTGGTCTGTGTTCAGTCAGGTACTTTGGCCCACAAAGGATGAACTAGACATTTCACAAGTCCAAAAACAGCACTGCATGGAGAATATCAAATCAAATCCATTCACAAAATATATGTAACTAATGCATAAGTAAGTACCCCTGAGGCCGGGACTTAAAAGCTGCTTCTGCTAAAAATCACTGATCGTTCACTTGGGCTTGCAAATACCCAATGGGTAACTGAAAGCAAGATAAAGCTCGGCATCTCTGTCTTCATTTTGTATCCGTCTCCTTTTCTACCTTAAACTTTGGGTCAGATCCCTGCTAAGCTCTTCCTATGGGGATGCCAATCACTTAAGGAGCAACGATCTAAAGCTAGAAATACATGATTTATTTGTCCTAAATCTAACTAACTCATATTATCGTCCTTCAAGAAATAAGACACCAAGATAAGATTACCTGAGGTATTTTCAAGATTTGCAGGGACATTCAACTGCCAGCTTTCACAATGTCCCATTCCAGACCATTGCAGTGATACCTAGAAGTCTCTAGTTACAGCTTTAAACCTAGTCACCCTGGACTGTAGTGGAGCCTCTGCAGACAGATCACCCACAATGAAACCATCCCTCCAAGGAGAAGCAAGTGCCCTAAGAGAAAAACTGAAGCTATTCCCCCAAAACAGAAGCAGTCACTTCATGTGAACCTCAAATGGCAAGGACATCTCGAGAGTCACTTGACAGAACCAGACCCCTGCTTGGCCCAGAAATCCAAGAAAACCTCATGTTTCCTGTGTGAACAGGCCCACTGGTGCCACAACTTTTTCAGCTCTTTTTCTCCTATCTCAAAGCTTTTGCATTTGACTCCCTTCACTTTCCCCAGCTTTAATTTCTACTGTTACTGAGACAGTTCTCTTGCCTCTAGTATCAACCAAGTTGGAAGATTCTACTCTGAATAATTTTGCAGGAATAAGGGCCATGGGTGCAGTATCTTCTCTCCTCTGGTTTCACTCACACATTTCATCACAGGGCCCCCATCATATGTCAGGCCTGAGAATAAAGGCAAGAGAACCTCAAAGGCTTATGAGCTCATCAAAAGATAGATACGTCCCATGCAGCGACCCACAGGCTGCACATATGCATGCAGGAAGAGCAGCAACGTGCAGGAAAGGTAACACCTAACGCGTGAGCGATTAGCTCAAGAGAGAAAACAGCTGGAATGTTTTCTAAGATTTAGGATCTCGACAGTCAGGTCTCCTTTTCACTGAAGACAGTCCTGCTTTGCCATGCCACAGCCTTTCAATGCTGAGTCTCAGTCCTTGCAAAAATGAAGACATTCTACTCCCAAGAAGCTCTGGGAAACTGTGGGTAAGATGCCCAAACCGTAACACGGAAACAAACCTGTTTTGTGATAATTGAAAAAAAGACCACATTCTGGTAGCTCTTGTAAAGGAAAAATATGTTCCACCACTTTATTTAAACAATATTTTTATCTACTAAAAAATTAATATTGACCAGGCATATTCATTTATTTCAGCAAGAGACTGAAGGCAACTTTCTTGTACTTTATTGCCAATATCCTATTTTAGCTTATTCCCAGCAGGTATATTATGATCAGTGGTTTACAGGCTTATTTGAGGGGAAGCCGCCAAAGAAGGTCGGCTACCCACCTGACAGCACCTTCTAGCACATCCTGCAGACACAGTGACAGATGAACATTCAACCCTGAATACAGGCCTCAGGAAGCAATGCTTCCCTCGAGTGTGAGTGCTGATGAGTTCTGTTTTATTTCTGTCCTATTTCATTTTGAACACAGCTAGTTATGACATGCTAAACTGGTTTCACAACCTTCTAAGGTATTATGACCCATGAGTCTTTTCCTTAAGAGAAGACCAACCTTGCTGTTCTATACCTGTTTCCTAATTTGATTTCCACAGCCCTGAGAGGTAAGTGAAAGTACTTTATCTCCATTTTGGTTTTTGTTCTTGCTTTCTGCAGTGGTGGGGACAGAACCCAAGGCCTCACGCTTGCTACAAGCACTCCACCACTGGGCTACATCTTCGGCCTTCCTCACCTCTGCTGCGCAGATGAGAAACTGAGGGTCAGTAAGGTTCAGCACTTTGCCCCACATCCCGCAGGTATTCAAACACATCCAAATCCAAAGCTTTCTCTCCACCTAAACAAAGCCATGTTTTCTCCTCTCAGTTTCCCAAAGCTTGCACAGTGCTGTGAGGAAAGGATCTGCTCTGGAAGTATCACTAATTCCTTTGCTATGGTTTTCCAATTTCCTTGATGTCAGTACTGTGAGCCCTCCTGATCCAGGGATTCTTTATCTGTGGATTCAACCAATTAACAACCGAAAGTACTTGAAAAAAGTGACCTGAACTTTTTCTTGTCATTATCCCTAAATAATACAGCACAACAACAATTTATAGGTCATTTACATTATATTTGGTATTATAGTAATCTAGAGATGATTTATAGTATGTGGGAGGATGTGCATAGGAAATGTTCCAATACTTGAGCATTTTATATAAAGACCTTGGCATCCACAGGAGTCCTGACACCAATCCCGCTGGAAGCCAAGGGATGCCCACATATCCTTGCTGGCAAGCCATCACTATCTGATTATTAACAGGAAAGGTGGCAGCAGTGGGAAGAAACTATACTAGAGACGTGCATTCCTTCCAATCATTAGGCATAGCTAATGCTTAGCTACACGAGCTGAGAAACAGTTGTAAGGATCATGAAGTGACAGTATGCCAAGTTATTCTAGAGTCTTAATGCAACTAGAATGGGCCTGGATATAAGTAAGTCCACTTGGAGGGGTAGGGAAAGTGCTATTTTAATATTCCTTAGTTTCAGTTATGCCTGGGAATCTATGCTCAAAGCAGTAAAAGCTGTAACAAATGCAAAGGCCCATCTTCAGGGTCATTAGTCAGAAAGCCAGGTCCCAGCAACCATGCTTTTGTCAGCCAGAATAGCACCAGTGCCTGACCCAGACAGACCCTGCGAGGACCAGGGTCCTCAGCTCAATCACAAGGACATCCAAAAGGCACTTTTACATCACAAGGGTGTTTGCAATACCTCACAACAGCATCCAAAGAAGCAGGAAAACCTTATCCACTCCACATTCTGGGAGAGGGAACCTGAGCTTAGAATGATCGAGCAGCCTGTACAGGATGCAGAGCTGGAGGGAAGCCCTGTATTATGACTCCAAATCTCCAACTTTACCTACTTTCCAATAGTAATGCTGTGTCCAGTGCCAAAAGCAATGAAGATGAGGGGCAGTGGAGACGACAAGCTAACTTCAGGTGGGGCGGCAATGAAGCATGGGCAATTTCTACCTAAGACACTTCAAAATTTGGAAACCCTTCTTAGGAAAAGGTTAGCACTGAACCTCAGAGTTCATCTGTCTGTATTATTTAGCTGATCTCACAAAGAATTAGCTAGAATTCTGTGGATTTAAGACCCTCTGTAGTTAAGAGTTCCATCTTGGTGAAAACACCATTGAAAATGTACTTTCAAATGCCCATCAGCCCACAAACAATATATATCTATATAACCAAACATTGTTCATCTATAAAAGAGAATAGAGTATTAACACATGCTGTATTATAGATGAACTAAATGAAAGAAACCAGTCACAAAGATTTCACACGAGATTTCCAGAAGAGGAAAATCCACAGATACAAGACAGTGGACCTAGTTGCAGGTGCTCAGGGAAGAGGAAGTAAGGTATGATAGCTAATAGGAATGGATTCTCTGATAGAATGAAGAAAATGTTCTACAATTAATTGTTCTAATAGCTGTATAACTATTAATATACTAAAACCTTTGATCTTCACATTTTAAATGAGTAAATTGTATTTTACATGAAAAAAGCTGCTCCTAAAAAAAAAAATCACTGCTAGCTTGCCTTGTAGATACTGAATTCTATGGAAAACATTTGGAGACAGTGCCTTTGTTATCAGATCAAAAGCATCCACACTCCAGCAACAGCAGACTTGTCACTGTGTCGGCATTTCTGTGGTATCCATGGCTTCATTACAGAAAGAATTCAGATGCTCAAAAGACAAGTGTTATCCAAACTCAAAATACTTGAATTTATTTTCACAAATTATGCTACCTTACTACAATGGCAATACGGTCCTCTTGCTTCACAGAATATGCTTGGTGAGCCAATGTCCTGGCACAGATCCAAAAGGCTTCCCTTCCTTTGTGCATCGGACATCACTGGGCACACCTGACCACACCTGACCACCTGCCTTCCTCCTGTTCCAAATCTGTTTTTCAATTACAGAACCCCCAGTCAGACCTGCACTGGGGCCAGGTGAGGCAGATCTGCTGACCTCATTTATCCCCACTCACCCTCACTGCCATCACTGTTGACTTCTTTATCCACCTCTCCACCCCCATGCAAAAGCATCTTGCAGGGAGAGATCAGCCTAACTCATATTTGAAATCCTAATGTCTGGCAAAGAGGATGAGGCAGCTCGTTCACCTTTAAATGTGTCACAGTTGGACGAATTATAAATATCAGCAAGGGCAAAGATGGAAATCAAACTTTAACAACTCCTAAGAAGATGTGTGTGCCAATGAGAAGCAGGACAGCACACTTTTCATAAGGTTAAGGGTCACGTTTCCTTACTCAGCACACCGTGCTTCTCCTGCAGGAATCACACGCAGAGAGACCCACTGATACAGCACCAGCCGGGCTGCCACTGGCAGCACAGAATATCCCCATAGTCCCTGCCCTCGGCAGCACCTTCTAGTCTACCACATTCCTTCAAATGACCTGTCATGTGCCTGGGGCATCAGACAACCAGCCACCACAAAGTGCACAGCAAGCGGTATGGTGGAGTGTGGAATGTGGCCTCAGCTCTGCCTCTGTTCCTTACTGAAGGTGTGACCACACCAAGTTACCAAATGACTGAGACACCAGACCCCTAATCTTCCAAGGGGAGGAAACAACCCTCAGCTCCTCGAAGTGACATGAGAATTAAGTAACCAATGCAAAGGCAGGACCACAACGTATTTTTTTTTAAATTAGCAATCTATGTCTCTTTACCCCCACCTTGACTCACCAGATGGCTTCCTAAGTATTGACATTGATGTGATAAATTCTTTGAAAGAAGTTTCATGACCATGAAAAGTGAAAAGAGAAATGGTAACTTATCAGGAAGAAAGGAAGCAGATGGAATTGAGGCCAAAGATCTAAACACCTGCTCCTGACACTCCCCTACTGACCCAGAGGCCCAGAGATATGGCCAAGAGGGTGAGCATCAGCCTACTAGTTCAGAAAATAATTAGGCTAGACCAGAATCCCCACAGCATATACCACACACAAGCAAATCCTGAGCAAGGAACAAAAGAGGTGACTCTCCTCTCCTGTTCTTATCACATTTTAGTCTGCGTGACACTAAATCCACAGCAGCAAGTTTCAGAACTGTAAACAGAGTAAGTAATAAATCAACAGAGCTTATCCAATGCCAGGCATTATTCCGAGACATCTGCATACATTCCCTCACTTCATCCTCACCTAACCAGGGGAAACTGAGGCATAATAGTCACATGGCTCATCCTAAGGCTAAACACATGACAACTGGGGAAGCCACAGCTAACACCAGGCGTCCGCTTCCTGATCTCCAGCACTACACTCTTGTTTCTCCCAAGATTTGTTCTCACACTGGTTTCTTCCCTCTTGACTTCAGATGACTTTCCACAGTAGCAAGTGCAGATTAGGACTCTGAGATGACACGCAGGAGCTGGTACACAGCAACTAAGACAAGCACTATGTCAAGTTCTTTATCTACAGCACTCTATTTCAACTTTCCAACAGCCACAGATCTATGCACACATACAAACATGTATATATGCACATGTGTATGTGTATGTATAGGTATGTATACCGAATAAGTATGTATAAATACATGTATGTGTAGACATATTTATTTTTACTTAAGGACGTACATGTGCATACATGTATGCGTGTATATAAAATGGACTTTTTAATATAAAATGATTTTAAGTATGTAGTTTTTACAAAATGCTACCAAGTTTCAAAAAGGACAAGTGACTTGTCTGAAGCCCCATAGCCTGCTAGACAGCATTAGATTCCAGAACTCGACCACGAAGCCCATGCCCTGACCTCATTATATCCAAATACCATGACTCTACCCTGAATAAATGGTTAGGGGTCAATGATTTGCATGTCAGAAGACTCTGCTACACATCAAATTTCTAAAGCTTTGTATTGCCTGTGGCACAAGACACCATGCCATTAAAAGAGTTACCTTTGGGGCCAACAGGTCCACCTCCTTTATAACTTCAGGAAGTCCCAAATTGTTCTCATATGCCAATCTCTTGAGACAGAGTTGAATTTGCAAAAATAAACATTCATTCTTGGTGTTACATAATCTCCCACCAAAGAACTAAACAAATATTACCATGATGAACGTTACCAGCACCTCAAATTAACATGACTCATTGAAGAAGTGCTTCCCAGATTTCCCTCTCAGACAGTTGACAGTAAATAGCACAATGTTACAATGAGAGTAGGTGTCCATACTCACCACACTTAGTAGGTGCCACACATTGTTCTTAATTATCTAATGTAGTCTCTTATCAAATGTAATCTAACAATAGCTGTTAGTAGCATCTATTATTATTATAATTATTATTATCATCGCTGTTAATAATTCTTTGAAAATGTCATCTAAGAAAACTTTGCTTTATTTCTATTTGGTAGATCTTTCCTCTCCAGACTTTCTTGGATACTAACAAACTTACACACACAGTGATTTGTTTAACCTATTCTCTCTCTCGCTCATTTTTTAGTATATTAGAGACTCTCACTGTGACAGGCACTTAGAGTGGAGCTTCCGTAAGATGGAGCAGCTGGCAGTGAGAGGAGCTCTGTGCTGGCGGGACTGGCTGTGCGCACACAGGGGACCTGGAGCAGGACACTTCCGTACACATAAACCTGAGAAAGCAATGAGCACCCAGGGGAGACAGGGCTGCCGCTCGGGCTTGCTACTTACCAGCTCTGTATGGACTTTAAGATGTGCCTGTAGCTTATATTTATCTGGAGTCGAGTAGTCACAGCCGTCAGTGGGACACTTCAGCAAGATGTTACTGTGTTTCTGAATTACATGGCGTTTAAGGCAGTTTTTGGTGATGGAAGAATAATGACACTGGGAGCAATAATACAGATGTTCTCGGGTGTGGGTGCGGACATGCATGTCAAAATGCACTTGGTACCAAAAAAGTTTGCCTAAAAAAATATTTTCACATGAGAACAAGGAAGTTTCTTTTATACTGAATTTGAATTTTTAAATTATTAGTTTTTTACACTATTTTATCTGCTTCACGTGCTTGTCTAGGTCACCCTTCACACTTTCCACCACATCTGTCTGAAAATTACTTTTCAAAGGTGGCAAGTCGAAAATATTAAGGGTGCTACCATCCTTGGCATGAGGTCAGGGCTGGAGTGGGAGAAGACGTATTCACTGAGGACCAGTTATGGTGCCAGGTCATGCACAGATCAAAGAGTCTCCAAGTCCTCCTGACCCTCCAGGACACCAAGTCCATTTGCCTTCCCACATCCTGCACCTCCAACTCCCTAGGAGATCCAGGAGCTGTACTTTCACTGTGAATGGGAGAGTGCGGCTCGGGGCCACCCTGCAAAAAGCGGCAACCACTTCCATACCCTCGCTGCTTAACTAGAACACAGCCACAGTTTAAAGCTCAACTTAATATTTGTCACATGCCAGAAGAAAGATTCTTCCTGGTAAGAAGCTGGGAGAAGTTGTAGGCAACCCTCAGCGTGCACGCCAGACCATGCCAACATGGTCAGCTGTGCAGTCATGCTGGCTGCCTCCATACAGACTCCTACTGCTGCCTGAGACACGGGGTCACCTGTTCCTATCTACCATGGAGAAGGGTGGCTCATTTAGGAGGTGTTCTTTGCACAGAGATGTGAGTTCCAATTAAACCCTAGGTGACCACAATGTGATGGGAATGGACAGGGCTGCCGGGAAGGAGAGCTCCACTCAGGCATGCCGGTGCAGCCTTTCCTTACCACAATATTCACACTCCAGGTCTCCGTACACCTTCCGGATCCTCTCGCACAGGCCAGGGTTCATTTGCTTCTTCTGCAAACTGTCCAGTACCTTCATGAAAGCAGTGCTGCCAGGCTGGTGCTCAGAGGCAGGTTTACAAAAGTCAGGCTGGTGCACATCAGTGTCCCCCACACTGGCCACTGGAGGAAGGAGGTCTGAGGCCTCAGTTGGGTTTGGCCTAAGACATCTGCTGGGATCAGGTTCACATGCTGGGAGGGAAGTCACTTGCTGGCCTTCATTTGGAGGGCTCTTGGCACTCTGGGTCTCTGGGGCAGGCCTAGGACTTTTGGTCTTAGATAGGAGTAGCATGATTTCTTCACCCTGAGTCTGGGCTGAGCCTTCATGCTGGGAGTCCAAATTCTTCTCAGCAGCAGCATGAGCCTCAGTAGAGGAGGTATCATTTTTTAATAAAAAATCATCAGAAACCACAGCAAGAGAATGCAGATCTGCTGAGACCACAGTGGTTTCCAGCTCGCAGGGTGGCAGGGCATCACTTTCAGCCTGGGGGCTGGCCAAGGGCATCTCTGGGGCAGGCAATTCCACAGGGACTTCCAGCTCCTTCTGCTCCTCCTCACACCGAGTATCCTCAGGACCAGCCTCCTCTTTAAGTGCATCTACCTCGCGACACACAAACTCCTCTTCTACAAGCTGCAGCTGGTCTCCCAGGGCTTCTTGCTGGATGTCCCCTCCTGGCTCCAGGAGGCAGAAGCTCTGGTTGATGGAACTGGTAAAGACCAGGGCCTCCTGGGCTGCCCCATGCACCTCTTTGATGTGGGAGCGCAGCCTGATGGAGCTGACAAACTTCTTGAGGCAAATGGCACAGACATATACAAAGGGGTGCTTCCTCACGTGCAGCTCCAGTGCCTGGTACTTGGTGGCCCCATGGCCACAGAGCTCACAAGCATAGGGCCACTTGTCACCATGGACTAGCATGTGGCGGTCCCGGTCCAGTTCATTCTTAAACTTGCGCTCACAGATGTGACAGTCATAGAGCAGCTGCCGCTTGCCCTCCCTTGTCATCAGGCGGAGCTCATCCAGGGCCTCCTTGACTTTCTTGTCCTGTGGGTCGTGCGTGTCCCGTATGTGCTTGATGAGGTTCTTGACATCGGAATACTTCTTCTTGCAAAAGCGGCAGTGCTGCTTGATCTTCTTGTGCACCCGCTCAATGTGCACCTTGAGGTGGCCTTTGCTGAGGCAGGTGAAAGAGCAGTAGTCACAGGAGAACTTCTCGCCGGTGTGCTTGCGTAGGTGCACGTTGAGGTTGGCCTTGATGGCACTGGCATAGCTGCATTGGGGGCACTTATATGGCTTCTCATTGGTGTGGATCCGCAGGTGGGCCTGCAGTGAGTGCTTGAATTTGAAGACCTTGTTGCAATATTCACAAGTGAAGATCTTCAGTTGGGTGGGACCTAGCCTAGAGACAGAAGACAGTACAGTTACTTTGGGAGATCTCAAACGTTCTCTATGACCCAAACACCAAGGGCTTAGTAGAGGATTAAATGAGGCAAAGGAAGGATGAATTGTTCATTCACTCAATGAACAGAACTGGAAGAACAGTACGACTCACGCACAAATAAAAGAAAAACAGGGAGTCCTGGTCCTCAGAACCACACAGGCCAGGGGAAGAAATGACAAGGCAGCAAATGTTGCACAATAGCATGGTAAGTATGAAAGTGTGTGCAGGGACTTCCAGCCAAGGTGAAGGTAACTGGGAAAATTCTGCTGAGCTTTTGCTGAATTTCGTTGAACATCAGACTTGAAGGGTAAGAAAGAAAGCATAAGAGAAGGAAAAGATAAGAGATATTTCAGACACACACATACACACACACTAACCAGGCATGCTCCTAGTGGATCTGTAATGCATTCTCGGATATTTTAAAAAGGATCAGTCATAATAGAATAAATTGAGTATCCATGAGACTAAATACAGTATCAAATTGTTCAACAGCTTTGACATGTCAGACCAACTATATACACTGACCTTCTGTCCCATTTTGCAAGTTTATACACCAGGGCCACCCATTATCCAAAGATCCATAGTCTTTCTCCATATCCTTATTTCTTCCAAGTAAAAAGAACCATGTCACATGCCTGACTGGCAAGTTTGAGATGGAACCTAGAATCTGCTAGCTGAGCTCCACCTCTCCTCTCCTAATGAGGACGTATCTGCCTGCCTCTGGTAACAGGGGATGAAGCAGGCACTCCACCAGAAGTATCTGCGAACCTGGCCAGGGCTGCAGGTGTGACAGGAAGCTGCTGGCCCAGGGCTGCTGCACAGCTGAGGAGGCTTCCTGCTCACATGTGTCTCGTCCTCTCCCACAGCTCTGACAGGAGCAGTCTTTCTACATCATAGCTGGTGTTGAGCTCAGATGGGAAAATAGCATTGCCATTCATTAGCCTCATACATCCTTTAAAAAAGCTGCAATTGATTAACAACTGGCAATGTGTTATAGACACTGCAATAAATTTTTGCATGTGGTAAAATACAATAACATGGTCTGCCTCATGGAGCCAGTCTTTTCCAATGTGGCAATGTATATGCTAAATTTCAAAGTGGTAATAATAACAATGACAACTAACAATTATTATGTTATTACAAACTATGCCAACTATTTAATCTTATCCTACTATCAAACCATTTTATGGATCCATGGCTTGTAAAATTACATATCTATATCCACTTTATAGATGAGAAAAATGAGCACTTGCCAATCATCCTACAATCAAAAGTGATCTGAACCCAAGTGGACTACTGGGCATCCTATTCACTCATCTTAATCCTCTGTACTGCCTAGAATCACTCAGGTACAGCAACCTGTCCTCACCATGACCATGCAGGATGAGAAGGCTTTCTACATGGGGCTTTTATTGCAACTGAAATGGCAGGGTCTTATTTCTGAAAATATCAAAAGACAATCACTAAAGTACTTTAGTATGTACCAGGTACAGAAACTGGCAGAGATCAAAGAACTACGTGAGACTTTCTCTCTGGGTGAAACTGCTTCCTCTAGGTTATCCAAGAAGGACCTGTGACACACTAGTAAGGATACAATATATGAATTAGGCCACCAAGCTATATCTACTACAACTATAAAGTCTATACTCATGAAATTATCCATACAACTATGTCTGATCAACACAGGTTGCTTTATCTTTAAATTAAAAATATTTAAATAGATTGCAGTCCACAAATACCAGAGGATACAACTTATGTGATGCAATTAAAACATTCAAATTTGAAAGTTACTCCTATGCCTGCATGCCAAGCCCAAGGCTTATTCAAGGAAAGTAATTTGGATCTTTCACAACCATAAAGATAACCAGAAGGTGACACATTTTATTGGTATAAAGACCATTGAAGAAAGACGCCCTGGATTCATAGTGTTAATTAAATAAACAAATCACAGTATTTCCTCCTCTAACCCAAAGTTTAAATGGTCTTAGGAGAATCCTTTGCTCAGAGCGTTTAAATTATTAGAAAATTTGTTAGTGATGCCAAGTGTCCTGTTTCTTGTGGAGGAACTTGAGGGTCAGCCTACAGCTGACTCTGAGCAGCAGCCACACAATTCTGAAGCAAGGCAACAGCTACATCATTCCTCCTGCACCACTTCATCCTGATGCCTCATTGGACGTACTCTCATCACTGCACTCCACAAAGAAATCAGGGAGAACTTCAAAGGCCAGATGTCTTAATCCAGTTATTCTACCTCTGGGACTCTACCTTAAAGACAGAATATGAAACTGGATGAAGGTGTTCATGGTCCATTTTTCCTAACAATTAAGAACAGGAAGCTGCTTAAAAGTCCCAACACAGAAAACATTTATTTCTTTTCCCTCATTTGTTTGTTCATTCAGAAAAAAGTTCCAGATAGTAGGGACACAAAAGGGAATGAAAGTAAACTGAACTCTTCTCAGCTGGAGTTCACCATGGTAACTACAAAAACCAGCAGATAAGGCTCATCAGCTCCCTGTGGGAAGGACAAGGCAAGATACTCTAGGAGTGCAGTTTAGAACAGCCTGACGTGGTGAGGGGATAAGGAAGGCTTCTTTGGGGACAGGACACTGCAATAGAAAGTCACAAAATGAACAGGAGCTAACTAAGTGAGCAGGAGGAGATTCATCCCAGAAGAAAAGGAGGAGGCACCTGCCAGAAAGGTCAAGGAAGTGAAGAGAGGCCCAGCTGCCTGGAGCACAGAGGACCAGAGGGAGTATGGTGGAAGACAGGCTCCTAGGTAGGAGAGGGCAGCCTTAAACACTTCTGCTCTTCTAAGAGCAAAAGGAAGCCTTCGAACATTAACAACAGATGACCTTCCATGTCCAAAGTTGTCTTCATGAAGTTATAACACGTCTCTAGGAAGCAAAGACTTGATTAAGTAACAAAGGAAATATAATGTGACTTAAGTTTTATAGATACAAAACCACATATAAAATACAAACTCGGTGTTACAAGATGAATGTATAGGGGGAAAAGGTCAGAAGGAAATACATTAGAACCATTAATAGTCTTTGGGCAATGAGATTATAATTACTTTTTTCCTCAACGTTTTGAACATCCCAGATTTTCTATATAAGTCTGCATCATACTTACTATAGGAGGAAAAAATGATATACCCTAAAAGACTTTATAATTTAAAAGCAAAATTATCATTTAAGAAATCTGAAGTCTTTCTTTACTATTTTACAATTTACATAATAAATATTAACAGAATGCATGACAACAGGCCTGAATCTATTAATTAAATTTTGAGTATATTTACCTGCAACTATATTAGCATTTAGCTGAATCCCTCCTCAACAGACCTTGAAATATGATAAAGATAATTAGCCAAGGTCTACAAATCAACCTCAGTTGAGACAAAGGATGATCATGAAATTTACATCTATTATAAATCCATCAAAAGAATAAATATTTTTACAACTTCATTAATCAATTCAGTTGATTACATTTATAAGAATAGTGGGCTGAGACTACAAATTAATAAGATACAATAATATAACTTAATGAGTACAACACGAGTCAGAGACTATGCACATGGCTCATCATTTATTCCATCCACTAAACCAAGATCCTATTATTCAATTTTACACTAATGCACTAGATGATCGAAGGACAGTACAGCTGTCAAGGTGAAAGAGTGTAATTATCCTATGTTCACCTACAGATGAATGGGCAAGAAGGAAAAACTAGACTTATTTGCAGGAAAGTGGATGCACTTGCAGACTGTAATGTTAAGTGAAGAAAACCAGCACACAAGTTTAAATACCACATGATTTTTCTTGTATGAGAAACCCAAAGTACAAATATGTAGCAAAATAAAAGATGGATAATAGGAAATACAAAGAGGAAGGGGACCACAAGATGGAGGGGGAGAAGAGGAACATGACAGGAAGGGGACGAAAGAATTAAAATGTGTTCTGTGTGTGTGCCAACTTCCTGCCATTCATGTAATCAACATGTACACAGTCACACACTAACAAAAAACAAAAAGTGAAAAATAGTGCAAGAGTCATGGAGGCAGGGACTGGGTGAATTAGCTGTCACATCAGCAGCACCCAGAACATATTAGGCACTCGGCTTGCCGAGCTGCACTGGGGTAGAAGAATTTAGTGTCACCTAGGCTGGTTTGGTGCTATAGCTTCTGCTCTGCTCAAAGACACCTCATTTCCCCTCTCCCAGACACAAAGGGAAAGCTTCAGCAACTGGCATTTCCTTGTCTTTCCTCCCACCTGGGAAAAACATCTGCAGAGCCCCAGTGATTGGTAAATAACGTCTTCAGCAGGACCACATCTCAGCTAAGACATCCTGATGGGGAGTGTGTGGAAAAAACACTCCTCCTCCAAGGGACAGCTGACCCATGTATTAACAGGACAGTTTTTAAAGTCAGTTAAGGTTTTCCAATTTCACATTCCCCAAATCAACAATTCCACTTCTGGAAATTTATCCCACAAGAATTCTTCAAAACATATGGGAAGATGAATATTCAAAGCAGTTAATTGTGGGACTGTCCATGGTAGCAAAAACTGGCTATGTAATGACAAAAGCTCACATAACAGCAAATCCAACGTATACATATGTATTAAAAATAAAAGACTTTCAAGGTACAATACATGACAAAAAGTTAGGCAGTACATTTGGTATTACATGTTTTAAAAAGTATTAAGATTAAAGTAAAATATTATAGTACATCATGAAAACATTATGAGAGCTGCATAGTTTTGATCTAGAAACTCTCCCTAAATATCTCATGTTTACAGGTGGGGCTTTTGGAAGGTGACTGGATCAGAGGGGACACTGTACTCAACAGAGAATTGATCCATTATGAATTGTCATAACTAAATGTGTTGTTAAGAGATATATCTCTCCTTCTCTCGCACCTCCTTTCTCTCTCTGCTTCCTTGCTGCCATTAGACAAGCAGCTATCCTCCACTGTCTCCTCCACCATGATGTCGTCTTAGAACCAGCTGACCACATACTGAACCCCTGAACCATGAGCCAAATTAAATCTCTTCTCTTTGAAGTTGTGTGGGTCACGTACTGTGTCTCAGAAATGAAAAAGCTAAATACAGTACTGTGAGTAGGGCCAGTATGAGAGAAGCCATGTGGGCTGCACCCAGGAGGACAATAGGGGTGGAGCTACCCAAGGCTTTTAGAGTTCACATCTGGTCATAAACTGCTCTGGGTGGTAGACATGGAGTTACGGGGTTTAACGTTTTTCCAGCTACAATATGGTCTTGCTTCCAATTCCTTCCTATCCCCCTACTTTTTCCTTGTGAAATGGAACATTTACCCTATGATACTGTATGTTGGAAATATTTAACTTTGTTATTTTTCTAGGGCCTTAGCTAAGAGTTTCCCTCTTCAGTCTCAGAGACTTTGGACTCTTCAGCAACGATGGAACTTCTAAGACTTTTGCAACTCTTAAGAGATGGACTAAATACATTTTACATAATGAGATGGACATTTGGAGTCTAAATGTGTTTTAGATCTAGATGTCCCCCCAAATCTCATGTGTTCAGAGAGGTTTTGGAAGGTGATTGGATCATGAGGGTGCTATATTCATCAGTGGATTGATCTGTTGATAAGTCTATAGGTAAATGTGCCGATAAGAGCTGAGCCTGACTGGAAGAGGTATGTCACTGTGGGTGTCCCTTTGGAGGATGTACCTTCCTCTCTGGTTCCCCCCTGCTCCCTGATTTCTGACTGCTATGAGCTGACTCCTCTACCTCGGAGCCAGCTAATCACAGACCAAATCCACTGAACCAAATTAAATCTCTCCTCCTTTAAATTATGCCTGCCAGGTATTGCATCTCAGCAAGGAGAAAGCTAATACAGAAGTATATAAGTATCAACAGCAGTTAAATCTTAACAAAAGGACTATGAAATATATTAATTTGCATCATAAGAGATGTCTGAACTTTCTACAAAATGCTAGTGTTATCTAAGAGGGAAACTCTTAGGTAAGGCCCTAGAAAAAAGGGGCAAGACATGATGGTGCACACCTATAACCCTAATGCTTAGAAGGCTGAGGCAGAAAGAGTGTAGTGAGCTCACAGTCAGCCTGAACCACACAGTGAGACCCTGTTTTGGAAAAAAAAAGGAAGGAAAGCAAGAAGCCATCATCTGTAGTCCCTTTCATAAAGGTTAAGCATATGGTAGCTTGGAGCAAAATGCTCCATCTTCATTGAGCTAACTGTTCCTGTTCCGAAAGCATGTTCATCTGCTTTGCACCTCAGAGGCAAACACTAACTAAAATTCCCAATGGAAAGGTTCACTCATGCAGTAAATCAAGTCAGGACAATCACAAATAAGTTTGTAAAGAAAATCAAGGCAAATAGACACACAGATCCTTCTTGTGCTCTGCAAGGGTCACTCACGTTCAGCCCCTGGCTGACATTACACAGAACAGCACAACTTACCTGCTTGACTTCATCGGCTGCTCATAGGGGGTCTGCTGAATGGCATACTCCTGGTACCCTCTCCGCGGCACCAGGTCCACTGCGGAGGTCTCTGGATTTGCTGCTCCAGTCTCTGGGGGCCCAGCCTCCACTGGGATAATCTTGGTAGCACCTGAGATTGATGCACAATGCACTGTTTACTGCATGGCACTGACAGCACTGAGCCCAACCTGGCAGAGCCAGGATATCCAGAGCGTATCACCTTATCACAGGATTCCCAAGCAACATGTCAGCTTTCCTGAAGCTGACATACTTAACAGATGAGACAGACAGACAGACAGAGTGTGTGTGTGTGTGTGTGTGTGTGTGTGTGTGTTTGAGAGGCAAGGGTTAAATTTTGTAAAAAATTTGTTTAAATAACCCCTTGAGGTACACTTTCACTTGATCTATTTATTAAACACAAATCCACATGTGTGTGTATATGTGTGTGCGCGTGTATATCTTGTAGGACTTCACACAGCTATGTGTTAAAATTTAAGTAAATGTAGAGCTGCTCCAAGAGAGGTAGAACAGATGATAAATACAAGTTTAAGCCACACATGGGGTCTGGTTCCAAATACAGTATTACCTAAGTATCACTTAGTCTGTTTGCACTCTATGAATTGTTTTGGGGAACAGAGTACATAAATCTCAGGGGTCACCGCTGCTTCTGCAATTTCACGGTGTGAAATGATCAAAGACTTTCTACAGCAGTGGACATTCATATGTAGGTGTACGTACCTGGGGGTGTGCGGGTGTGTGCACAAAGTGCTCTAAAGAGAAGTTCCCAATCTAGCCCTGTTTCTGAAACAGCAAAGGGAATTAATTGCTCTTTCACCCTCACTTACATAAATCTCAAATTATCATTAATTTTTGAGGAAAACTACAGGAAATTTCTCGAGTGATCACTAGGAATCAGAAACTCTCCTCTGAGATTTTTCACTTTCCAGAATGACAGTTCTAAAGAAGAATGGTGGAGGACACAAAGTGATTTTGCATAAATCTATTGTCTCCTAATTTTATATATCTGTTCTCTACTAATTGCCTTACTCTGTAGCAAGACATAGAAAAAAAAAATTTAGTCACTACTTTCACTTTAAATAGTGTATTAGACTATCAGCATTGAAAACAGGTGTTTAAAAGGTTGTAACTGTTCTTAAAACCCTAAAGTTGATCTTTTATTTAACAGTTATCACTCCAAATGGATAGGGGAAAGAAAACAGAAAATGCTATGCTTTGGACTTTATTATCATATATTACTTTTTGTCTTAAGTGTCCCAGCCTAAGAGAGTATTTTTAAAAGATAGTATGACATATCTGCTGGCTATTTCATATGAAGGAAAACAGAGACAAAAACTTCCAATACAAAATATTGGGTTGAACTCCACTAAAAAATATAAAGAAGTTAGGCAGAGTTCACTGCCATTTCTGGACCAAATGGGTCACTTCCCTAAGAGGATGTAAGCACTGGCAGGAAGGGGAGACTTCCCACAGAGGACTGAGGTCTGCACTCACATGGCAACAATGCCTGGCTTAGCCACGGTGGCAGCAGCCACCACAGCCACCTCCCCTGGACACACGACCTATGAACAGCCTGGGTAGTAAGTAGGTCTGCCACTGTGCCAAATTTACAGGTGACGAACTGACAGCTCCATCAGAGAATGGGTCACCTGGGAGCACAGCTTCAGGCTAGTACTTCACATCAGACACCCCATCTAGCTTCCCTGGAGCAGCTGTGCCAAAGCCTCTTGTGTCATGTCCAGCCTGGTACAATTACCTGGAATGGCTTCGTGAGCAGTTAGAACCACACTGATGATGGGTTTCTTTGTTCCAGACAGCTGCCTTGCCTCCTTTCCTGAGGAAATCTTCTGGACTTTCTCTGTTTTCTGGGACCGAGGTCTTTTGGGGGCCTTTTCTCGATCGTCTTCCTTATACTTCTTTTCCAGTTCAAGATCTGACTCATTACCTAGGGAACAAATACCAAGATGTATAAACTACAACTTCTAGGTCAGTGACAGAGTTGAAGAGCAAATTTAAATCTTAAGGAATGGTGACAGTAAAGGAAATGGATTTCTCCTCCTCTTCCTCCTCCGCCTCTGCCTCCGCCTTCACCCTCCCTCCCCTCCTTTGACCCACAGACTAACACAGTCCCACTGTATCACCTTAGGCCATCCCTCATTCGATGCAATGTATATTCATGGCACCCTACCCAGGCCCCCCTGGGCATGAGGAACGCACTGTTGGATAAAACAGACATGGTCCCCAGCCCTATGTTCATGAAGCCCAGCAGATTTCAGAATCATTAATACATGATACTGCAGAGAAAATTCAAGGTTCCGAAGACTTATAGACCAAAAAAGAAACCATTCGCTTAATCCACTTACAATTATCGGGTGCCTGTCCTGCACCATGCATGGAAGACATAAACAGCAGTAAGGGCATGGCCTGCCCTCTAGTGCCCTACTGTCCAATGGGAGTAATCAGATATACAAAGAGGTACAATCAAGAGCTGTTTACTCTGTACTTCATAATGCAGGATGGTACCATACGGGACAGCAAGGTCTGGTGTGAGTGCAGAAATGCTTTATGGACAGATAACCTTTCAATTAAACTATGTTGAGCTAGGATACCAAGAAGGCTTCAGTGCCCACAAAAAGCCTGGAATCGTCCTTTGGTGAGTACTAGAGGGTAAACCTCCAATGCTGGAGCCTAGTAAAGTAGCACAAGGAAGCAAAGCTGTGGATAGGCTCAAGTGACAGCACAGGCCTGGCTTCTGCCAAGGACCACTCAGCCACGTAGTGACATGGTCACATCTGATGGTTCAAAGGGAGGCAAGAAGGTCAGGTTTTTTCCTTCAAGTCTTACTTTCCAAGGCTGAACCTAACCTAGAATTTCATGAAATAATTAGAGGGCCATGCAAAATCCCTGGGACCCACAGATTCCCACTGAAGCCATCTAAGCCAGGGAACAGCTGGACTGAATGAAAACTTTAAAACTATGCTACCACTGTGAAGAATAAACTGAATGGCTCAGAAAGGACTCAAACATATCAGCCAGAGACAGAACAATAGTGACCTTCACGTGGGAAACATGGCATCAACCTGGGGGGAAGAAAAGCTCTCACGTGGCAGTGAGAAACCAGGAGTGGACTCCCAAATGCACGCTTTTCAAGAGTCTTAGGAAGAGAAGGGAGTTTTCTCTTAGAACCATAGTCATACAATCTAACAGAACCCACCAAAGAATCTTTAGTCAGGACACACGAAAAGAGGACAGGGAACAATTCTACATAACCCTCTGTCTGCCATGAGTATGGGGTGGATGCTCAGGTGCAGACAAGCAGGCTGACAGACAGGCATGAGGAGGGGTTTCGAAAGGTCTGAAAGATATGGTTATCAAGGAGGTAAATTCTGGACTGGGTCAATGCACAAACCCACCAAAAGGTAACCTGGGGAGGACTTCTCAGGAAGGTGTGTCGGCTAGGAAAAAGCACTTTCAATGGGAGGCAAGGAATAATCTGGGCTAACAAGGCACAGTGATCAAAACAAACCTTATCACTTCTTGTGTCCTATAAATGAAAGCTTCTGAAGCTTGCCCTAAAATCTGGATGCTTGGGTCATCCCAGCATCCAGAAATAGGTGATCCAGTAAGAAGTCTTAGGGAAATTTTTAATAGACTGCTAACATCAAACTTAAGAGAAAAATGAATTATTGAGATCAAGAATCAAACGGAACTGCACACTGCCCTCCAACGCCCAAAGTTGAGGACTAGCACTTATATCCATCCTTGAAGAACGTAGGGCTCCTGTGAGCAGTGTGTCTAAGGCTGCTGCTGCAGTTTTGAGGGGCTTGATATACATCGTTCTTCACAGAAGGTTTTGCTTTACTGTATTTCATTTTTAAGTGGCCATAACAAAAACATTCCCAAAAGACTACAAATTGGCTGAGTCACAGAAATAATTTTGCAGCCTACATACCAGGTGATATACGTGCATAAATAACTATAGCAGAATATACTGCACGCTATAAAAAGGTAGAAGCAACATCGTATGGAATTCTTGCTTTCAGTAAGATGTTTCACTTTATAACAGAACTTACAATGGGATACAACTCATTATGTAGGTGATAAGACAGAAATAGATATGTTCATATAAAAAAGGACCTGAGAATTAGAACGTACCATAAGCTTAACTTGGCTAACTGTAGGAATCAACAAAACACAAACAAGAACACATACTCTTAGCCAGGGTTAACAGAGGAGGCTGAAGAGACCCGATGCTCTGTGGAGAAGGAGCAGTTGCTAGACTCTGCTTTAGGCACCCTGTGTACTGACGCACTGCACTGCAGCACAGGAGCTCACGCACAGTGGGTAGGAGCAGGCAAGGTCTGGAAGCCACGTTAAGATGAAAAAACTGCCAAGAGCCTAGCGATAGTTGAGGTGGAGAAGGGGAGCCTGAGTAAGAACCACATCTCTCGCCCTAACCCTAACCACTATAGCAGAGCCCTGAGATTACTTCCCCCGGCCACTCTACAGTACACTTCGATGGTATCCACCTACTCATTTCCAATTCCCCCCTCCTCAGTGGAGATGCCACTGCTGCCATGGTGTCTGAGATGCTACTCCAGCCAGCCTAACACCCAGGACTGCTCCACAGGGCCCGGCAAGCAGCATGTCAGGGGCTTCTGGGAATGATCTTCTCCTGTAACCAGCAAAGTATTACTGTGGACACTGCTGTGTCCACTGCCTGGAACAAAGGCAAATCCCTATGATGAGAGGCCCAATGAAAGGCAACAGCAATTCCTTGAGCATCCCAAGAGAAAAATGAACCCTGTGATTCAGTGGTACCGCTGTGCCACTGAACAGAGGAAAACCGAGACCCACACCTTTTTACCTGAAGAAGAGACTCACTCGTAAACTCACTTTTTATGGGTGCCTCTACTTGTACGATCTTGACTAACACCCTCTCTCAACTACGCTCCATATCAACCCTAGAGTGAATCTAGTCCTAACACTTTCATGATTAAAACTTTTCAATGCTGTCCTCTGCTTCCATTAGGAGAAAGTGTTAGGTAAAGTCCTGTAATGGTTGATTGATTGACTGTGTCAACTTGAGACACTTAGAGGCTTAACCAAGTAGGCTTAGCAACTCTACACCCTAGGGTGCCGAGGACCTTCCCCTAGGTCAGCTCATTGCCTGGGTGCACAAAGGGGAAATGAAGAAGGATGGGCTTGTGTCTTAGTTACTTTTTACTTCGTCGCTGAGACAAAATACCTGAAGCCCAAGTTGGGAAAGGAAAGGTTTATTTCTTACAGTTTTTGGAGGTTTCAGCACACTCAGTTGGCTCCAAGGCAGGCGGGAATGGCTGGGCCACAGTTCATGGAGGCTGCAAACAGCAAACTCGAACCAGCAAAGAGAAAGACACACCTTCTTCCTGCCATTACATCACATCCTGGCTCCACTCCTATGTGGGTGGGGCACTGACACCATTAATCCAAGCACTAGACAATGAACCAATCACAAATACACAATGCAAACTCATAAGGCCTGGGGGACACAGACATAAACCAAGACAGCTTGCTTCTGTTCTTCAGAGGAGCTCCAATCTTTGCCTTCAGCTTAGATGTCACCTCCTGGCTTCCATCACAAGCCCATCACCCTTCCGCTGCTTACCCATTGGCCTGCTACAAACTTGCACAGGACACTGCAGCAAACTCCAGATCTTAGACTAAAACCACTGGTCTCCAGCGTGCAGAACCCTCTGCACGATTCCTCATCTAACTCTGTGGGTGGCCACTGTAAGCCAACCTTGTAATTTGTATATGCTGTATTGTATTTGTTCTCTAGTAAAACGCTGACTGATACTAGCCCTCCAAATTTGCCATAAACCATCTCACCCACTACCCCACACAGTCAAGGCCATGACTTCCAAGCACACACCTGCATGTACTTATCTGTTCAATTCTGTGGTCTCCAACAATGTGAACCACAAGTAAACCAAGCTCCCATAGTTCTCAGCAGTGCTCTGATAACAAGCTCTTGGCTCTTCTCTTGCCCTGTCCCACTTCCTGATTCCCTGACTCCTTCTTTCTGGGCTCACACTCAGATCTACTGTCTGTAGCCATGGCTGCTTCTATAGGAGCATGAGCTAAAACAGTCCCTCAGTTACTCCAAATGCACACTTCCACACACCCATACCTTCAGTTTCTATAGCTTCATGTAACATGGAGCCATAGGCCAGACTGGCTACATTCTGCCCTGGTGAGCTTCAGAACCCTCAGTGCTAGGTTTTCCTATGGATATGTGGGCCAGGGACTGCAAGGAGAAGTCATGAAAATGGTTTCAGGAGATGACCTTAGCAAGTCCCTTGAGAACTGGGGTACTGTTGAAAGAACGGGACCCTGGAGAGGAGAGTGAGCACACTCACTCCAAGGCATGTGCCCAGTGCACTAAGGGATTACTGGATCATGCAGGCTAAGACACCAACATGTGGAAGTGAAGATGTGCCTGAGAAGGCCAGTAGGAAGAGCTGGACGCCATGGAAACCCTGCCCCCCAAGAACAAGGGCAGTGTTGTAGTCAGGGGTTGTGCACATAACAATTAGAATCAGGACATGGAGTTTATAATATTATTTTTATAATGTGGGATTTAACAAAAGAAAATGTAGGAAATCTATCCACAACACCAAAGACATAGAATATTTAGTCAAGGGCCAAATTCCCACAGCAATGTCCCACATGAGTCCAGATGAAAAGCCAGAGTTCATGACAATGCCTCCCATGAGTTCAACTGGAGGTCCAGAGCCCACAAGGAGGACTCACGCCAGTCTCTTTTATGGATCCATGCTGGGAAGGCCCAAAGGTCAGCGTGGGAAGCCAGAAAGTTTATGCCAGCAGGATGAAGGAGCTGTGCTGGTGGGATGAGGATTCTACACTGGAGCCATGAAGTCACAATCACAACCAAGACCAGGG